TGCTTTGAGTAATGTGGATGATAAATATATTAATATTAAGTCTTCCAAGTCATAGATGTGAGATTATTACACTTGTGTGTCTTTTAAATTATTTCATCAGTGATTTGTAGTTTTCAGCGTGCCAAGTTTCACTTTCCTAATTATATTTATTCCAAAGTATTTTATTCTTTTTGAGGCTATTGTAAATATACTTGTTTTCTTGAATTTGTCTTAATAGCTTCTTTTATTCTACTATATAGAAACATACCTGATCGCGTACGTTGATATTCAGTCCCGCAAATGTCTGGAACGTAAGAATCCCCCGAACCCATCAGAGCGTCCTTACAGTGGCCCATAGCGGCCACTGCATTCCCGTTTGGGTGACTGAGTGAGACGCCAACTCAAAAAAAAAAAAAAAAAACACAAAAAAAGAAAAAGACAAGCAAAATGAAAACAAAAACGATCTATTCCCTCCACTGAAGAGTTACGGTCCTTCCAGACTTTTTCTAAGCATGTATAAAATAAGACACAAAAAAGAATAATATTGAGATTATGCTGTATATCTAATTGTACATCCTACTTTCTTACACATTGTATTGGCAGTATATATTAACAATAATAAATCTTTCTTTACATCACTTAAACACCTAGTATTTTGTTGTATGGAATACAATATTACTTTGTTGTATGAAGTTGAATATTAGACTGAATCATATATCTGATTTTTTTTTTTTGAGTAGTATTCTCACTCTGTTGCCCAGGCTGGAGTGCATGGCACGCTCATGGCCACTGCAGCCTCAACCTGCTGGGCTCAGGTGATCCTTCCGCTTCAGCCTTCCAAGTAGCTGAGACTACAGGTAAGTGCCACCATACCTGGCAATTTTTTTGATTTATTGTAGAAACGAGGTCTCGCCATGTTGCCCAGGCTGGTCTCGAACCCATGGGCTCAGGCAATTTTCTTGTCTCAGCCTCCCAAAGTACTGGGATTACAGGCGTGAGCCATCGCGCCTGGCTCATTTTCTATCTATAAAATAGCAGCTACCTATAACCCCAGTTACTTGAAAGACTGAGGTAGGAAGACTGCTTAAGCCCAGGAGTTTGAGGCTGCAGTGAAGTATATAATTATTCCTTTGCTGTGGGACATTTAGGCCATTTCCAATTTTTTTTTTTTTTAATCTCAATCAGTATTTTTTATTATGGTTTTGTGGGGTACAGTTAAGGGTTAGGTGTACAATTACGTTTCATTCAGGCACCCTGTTGATAAGAAGGTGTTTTCCCATCCCCCGACAGATATTTGCTATTGTTAATCCCATCCCCCTCCCCCCCCATAGTTTCCCAGTACCGTCAGTCATTTTCTTATAGTATTACATTTGGATGTTCAAGGTCCATTAATATGAGTGAAGAACATGTGATATTTCGGATCTTT